ATTATTATTATTATTATTATTATTATTATTACTATTATTATTATATTATTATTATTATTATTATTATTATTATTATTATTATTATTATTATTATCACTGTTATTGATTATTATTATTGATTATTATTATTGTTATTATTACCGCTACTGCTACTGCTACTACTACTACTACTACCGCTACTGCTACTGCTACTACTACTGCTGCTTGCTATTGCTATTATTACTAGTACTACTGCTGCTACCACCACTGTTAATTCCTACCACTGTTACCGTTTCATATTTAATTTTAAGTATTTTATCTAATTTCGAAGGTTTCCCCTTTTTTTACTTGAAATATTTAACTTGCCAGTGATGAAATATCGATCTTTCTGCAGTAGGAAATGAGCATTTGAGAATCCTTCTGAAAGTCATACTTCTCTTGATCGTTGTTCTTTGTACCATTCATTGATAGGTATCGTACTGTACGTTGTCAGCTTTCCGTAACTGTTCTTTTTACTAAAGCTTTCCCTGCAATTTCTTCTATGAGAAATTTCATCTACCGTATCACTTGAAGTCTGATCATTTAAATGTCTATCTTCATTAAGATATACTGTATTATATATAATTATCTCTGTTATGCCGTAACATTTTATTTAAACTTTATGTGTTACACTATGTGTTACTGTATATTCAATTGACCAGAAACTCTTTTTGTACCAGTGTGTGCAAAGTTGCGTACCTGACGATGAGGTTGACCTTTTGACCCCTTCTGATGTGAGGTCAAAAGTCGTTGATTGTAAACAAGAAAGGCGATTTTTAACTTTCCAAAATTTCCAGGTACCAATGTTTCGTTGCGTCGTTTGTCCATTGCAAGCGCCAACATATGAAACTGTGGAAGAACTGGAAATACACATTGCCTCGGATCATATCAGTCATGTACCATATGAATGTGAACGGTGTCGTTTTTCAAAATTTCCAACCGAATTCGCTTTGATTAGCCATTGTACAACAGATCATGGATTAAAAGAATTTTACGTTAGTTGCTTAACTTATTAAACAGTTAAATTATACGTATTAACAAGCGTCGTACGACTTTTTTTTTCACACGTACAATGTCAATTATCACTATCATTTGACTTTAATTGATCTAGTTCAGATGTAAGCCAAACGAGTTTATACGTTCAAGCGAATAACTTCTTTTATTTTTATAATGATGAACAGAATATTCAGCTAGCATATCATTAATAAATAAAATTAACATAAATAATTAACAGAATGGTTGCTAATGGATTGTTTGAGATGCATCTAGTGGATCCAAGATCATCTCCTATCCTTAATCTTTTCCAGCTATCCTTTGATGGATGGGATTTGAAAGAAGCTAAACAACTTCTTTTTTTTTGTTACCTCTTTCTCTTATTCGGTTATTCATCATTAAATGATGAGACATTGACGTATGCCTCCATACACTATACCAATGTTATTTGTAGAAGTTTCTAACAAAATATTTTAGCTTTCAGTTCGTGAAATAATCCTATTTGTAATGTGAACAGATAGATATGTCGAGACTTCATTTTGTTTTTTTTAGGTGAAGTATAAAGTTACACCAGATTTCCATCGTAAGCGTGAGAAAATCAGAGAAATGTTGCATCATTCTGTCACCGTATCAAAAATTCCATTTGGAACTTACAAACGAAGAAAGTTTGTTTATATGCTTCTTTGCTGTTTTCTTTTGTTGTTTTTTCCAGTATTGTTTCTGATTCAAAATCAAGTTTTCTTCTACTATTTGCTAGTTTTAAAATTTTTAATTTTCAAAGTTTGAAGAATAGCCGACTACTCGTCTTTGCTGAGTTCTGGGGAACTGTGCACTGTATCGGTGGATTCCGATGAGTTGACTCGTATGACTGAAACCGAAAAAGAAGCGAAAATCGAAAGTGCTAAAGTATCGTTGCTCATAATATTTCAAAAATCCTTTTCTTGAAAGTCAAAACGTTCTTATAATTTTGATTCTTTAAAGTTAAATAAGGTTAAGAATTTCAGAATTTCTAAAATTTTTGAATTTTAAAAATTTTGTTTAGGGCAGCGAAGTGGAGCCAGAAGATAGTACTTTGGAAAAGGAATCAGATTCACAGTCAAACACATTCCCGGGTGCTGGATTACAGCAAGATCCGGATCAAGTGAATATCGGTGAGCAGTTAATTTTTCATTTAGCCTTTAAATAATTTGATTTTTGAACTAATTTCCAATCTCAGTTGTTTATTCTAGCCATGGTTACGATCAAAATATTTTCTAGTGAGTATTTTGGGTGATTTATATCGAAACGAAGGTGGCAGTAGTGCCACTGTTGCTGTAACAGGTTGTGAGCCAACTGATATCGTTGATCCGTCAAACAGCTTAGCAGCTAATTGCGATATGTTGTCGCAGCAAATGAAGAAACGATCCAGGCCACCTCGAATTTGTAATATCTGTGGTCTTCAAGTTACTGGTCAACGTTCATCACTTATCTACCATGCTAATTCCAAGTATGATTTAATTATACTGGTAGTTTTCCTCGAACTTTTGGCGCTGATCTTTTACATTTCAAAAGAAATACAATACTCTGGGATGAGACCATTGGTTGCGATAATAAATGCTGTTGCAGTCGATAGGAGTATAATTTCAGTAATATAAATTTCGAAAAAACAGTCTGATACAAACAACTCATATGTACAGTTAAGATTGAAATATTCTCACCAAAAAGTTGCGTGACATTTCCGCCACCTATTCATTCTTTTAAGGCATGTGCGCCTGCCGATGTTCTTCTGTCGTGAATGTAAAAAACATGGACAACAATCACTAAATCGGATGTAATCAAACATGTTAAAGCATGCCATGATGGTGATGAAAGTCTCATAGAGGACCATCGCATGCAATATGCCAACGATTTGCATCATATTACCGACAAATGCTTCCCACGTAAAAGTCGAGGTTGTTTTGCTTTGTTTTCTTTCTTTTTTTTTAATTTTCGATTCAACTTTCGAACTTTAAATTGTGCAAACTCAAAATAATATCAATAAAACAGATGCAAATAATAAGTGGAATTAGTCGAAACTTCGAAATTTCTATTTTGACTTTATTCATTTTACCGCTACTGTTTTTCTGTATAACTAATTAGTTGACGTTGTGGTTTGTGTGAAGTGGTGCCAATGAGAAAAAGTAAAGGACAGAAAAAATCATTATTGATCTATTTGCAAAAAAAAAAAAAAGATGCTGCATATAGTATTTGCACAACATTAGAGGTAAAAAGTGAAATGAGAATGGAGGTAAATAAACTTAAATAAGGTAAATAAGCTTGAGTTTGGATCGGTTGTGATGATTTCATCAAAGACTTAAAACACCTGTTAATTTGGCTTTAATGACCTTAGCAAATTACCGTTTTTTCTTTTACCGTTTTATATTTTCAGGTAATTGTGCGGACGATGAAATGGAAAGTTTGATCAATCCAGAATTATGGGTCAAAAGTGAGGAAAGGGGTAGTTTTGTTAGCATCTGATACTCATGCTATAATCGGTATAAGAAGATATTGCTGTTCCGAAATTCCATATATTGAACTTTGTTTTCGAGCTTTGTTTTTTTTTCTTTTGAGTATGATTAAATTTAAGGGTATTTTTTCTTGTTAGAAATGTTCAAGTTCCAGTTGTGAAAGACGTTCAGCACGTTCAGCGTCTTTATCCGATGTTGGTTGTAGTGGCTTTACTAACTTTACACCATTTGCTCGCTTTTTTAAATCATCCAATAGTGTGGCCAAATAGAAATAATTCGGCGAGTCATCCCTATCCAAACATCGCAAGTAGCACTAAAATATTTGTGTCAGAATTGAGTATAAAGCCGGAAGTTTCAAATTTCCTTCTCTTCACGACATGAGTGATTTTTGTAAATTTTCTTTTTTTTTTCTTTTTATGAACAAAGTATGCAAGAAGAAAAATGCCAAACAACGAAAAAAAAAGTTTATGGAATACCATAACATTTTTCAAGTTTCCATAAACAAGGTTAGTATTTCAAGGGGAAGATGTGTTATATTCGCGCGCATAACATAATTCTTTAATCCAAGATAATAGATATAGTGCTAACAATTTACCTGTATTTTGAAAAATTCTGGTGGACAATTTCGAAGGACATATTTTGCAGGGAATATTGACGATTTACAAAGGTGGCGTAAATCAGGATAATCATCAAAAGGTGCCCAACAAAGGGGGTATTTAGAAGCACAATTGATCCATTCGACGAGAACATAAAACCATCCCCAAAGATCATCGATTCGTCCCTATGGATGAAATGAAGAAGGAGAAAAAATGAATAATGATTTCAAATTTTCGAATTTTTTGGAATTAGCAAAAATTTGTTATGAAAGAAATTTTTTTTTTAAACACGCTAACATCTACAAATTTACAATAGTTTGAATTAGCATTTACCTAGGATAAATATTGGCTATTCTTACCTGATCTCTTCCTAGCTCTGCCGTTAAACTGGCCCATTCATCGGTACCACGCATACCACACAAACATCGTGGTTCTCGTACTCGACCTTCTTGATTTATATAAAATCGTGCTAATCCAAGATCATACAAGACAAGGATGTTATCATTGTAAAGTCCAACATTTTCTGGTTTTATATCACGATGAACATAACCAAGACAATGTAAATCATATATAGCCTATTGTAATGTTGAAAATTTTTATTCAAATAAATGAGATTTTAAATGAATTCATGAAACATATATGTTAGTTAAATTATTAAAACTACTTTTTTTATCTATCAATTTTTGTCTTAACATTTTGTTACATAAATTTAAACTTAGCATCAATTGCTATATTCATTACATTTATAATTTTCAATATTAAATATGTAAAATTTTCCGAACAACGAATGAGAAAAATTACTTTCAAAAGTTGAAGACCAAATTCGGCTACTTTTGAAAGAAGCTCATTACCTCCCAATAGGCCAATTATACCAACCGGATTTCCTGGCAGATATTCCATTACAATATAGCTTACCTAGAAATAAATAAGTGTAACTTATAATTCGGAAGAAGTTATTAGGACTAAATTCTTTTTAATTATCGGTATTATCGTAATCATACTGATAATAGTAATTTAATCATAACTGTATTCTTTTTACGGTCAATTCCGATAATTCAATGTTATACATTTTGTTTATCCATATTGAGCGTATGACCAAAATCGATCCGTCTTACCAAATGTCGCGTCCGATCTTCATTATTACTTGGCTGCAATTAGTAAAATAATTGAAAGAAAATGAAATATCTGAAATGAAATTTATTAATTGAATTAAATGAGGTCAATTATTGAATTGAAAAAAAAAGCGTTTAATTTTGAAAGAAGAAAAAACGGAAAAACGGAAGGATACTTTCATAATCCGTTCTAGCACATCCCATTCGCAATTGATAGAACCTGATGCTGCTCGATTCATTGCAATTTTCATTACTGCTACATGATGTGTTACGATATGCTCAACAAGAATGACCATACCGTTTGCGCCTATTAAAGGAGTAATCCGTAAAAAAAAAAAAAAAAATGCGAATCCAGAAAATAAGGAAATAGTAATCCAGAAAACATTTCATATCCTTCATTCTTTACTGCTTTTCCGTTTCAATCGAATGGATGCAAACATCGAATGTTATCAGTATGGACTGTTTGGATTAATGGGATGTGATTAATACATGGATTAAATTATCCAGCAAGATTTCTTCCATATTTAAACCAAAATTAAATCCTCTTATTTTAATTATTTAATTTTTTTTTCTCATATAGAGATTAGTTTGAGTTTTGGTGACCTGAACCGATGACCTTTCCCACTTTCCATTCATCAATAATAGCATTTTGTTTGATAAAAGCAGCAAGACGATAAACTTGTGGATTTTCGTCCATATTTTCAGTTTCTGTACATCTTAAAACTTTTCTTTCTTTTTTTTTTCGAATTAGCATTGTTTTGATCACGATGAATGAAATGATACGTTTAGTTTACTTAGTGATAAGTTGATATAATCAATCAAACAAAAAGAAATAAGCTAATGTACGTGAATTTAAGAAGTATAAAACTGTTATCAGTATAGATATGATAACAAAATTTAAGATATGATGATGATAAAATTCATGCTTATTTCATGGTTGTACAATCGGATTTGATGCTGTCTGTAAACTTTTACTAACCGTTCATTTAACATTTTGTTGTCAACTGATAATAGAGTGATTGATGAAATGTGACAAACACAAATTTTATATTTCATTTTTTTTTTTTACCAATCTTTGATTTGCATATCAAAATGTTTCATAATTTTTCGTATTGAAATGCAGAAAGACTTATGGTGATAACTAGATTTGTCTATATATACATGTATGTGTGTATGAGTGTGTGTGTATGTGTATGTGTATGTTTGTGTATGTATATGTATGTGTCTGTGTATGTGTGTGTATATGTGTATGCGAGTGCGTGTACATATGTGTGTGTGTGTGTGTGTGCCTTTTTGAAATAAAACTATTTATCAGATGCCAAATATGAATGAAATTTTTATTCACATTTCTGTTTCCAGTTTTTCTTTTTTTTTTTCTACAAATTAACGAATTAAGCATTTCTAATTAGCTAAAGCGGTGTGATCAAAGCTTGATCAGGTGATGAGCATTGTTGTAATAACAAAGTAACCATGGAAGGGAAAATAAATACAGCAACTGTAAGACTTATGGTTGTAATTAGCATTAGAAAGACACTAATTTCAAAAAATGCTTGTGTTGATGCACCGATTAAAACAAATCCGGAAAGGAATGAAGAAATAGCTGCCAAAAATACGGGAATACCAACAGTAGATGCTATCACACTGAAAATTATCTAATTTTAATTAAAATGAAAATTGAAAAAATTTTGTTCGCCAATTAAATTTACTAATAGGAAAAGTATTCCATAATGCAAAAAAAAAAAAAAAGAGGAATGATTAATTAACATAATTATGGTTGAAAATTAAACACTTTCATTAACTATTACTAATTATTTTTGTGACAAGTAATAATAATGAATGCAATGACATTTATAAACTACACTTATTTTCATGCAATCTACTTTATTCATAAATAAGGTTAGTAAAATATTAAAACGATAAAATAATATGTAAATGTGAAAATTCTCGACGTAAAATGTCAAAATGTCAATATTAATGTCACATAAAGTGTCAAAGTTACCTGTAATCACCGGTTTTATGAAGTCGGAAACCAACAGCAAAATGAAGACAATAATCAAAGCTCATTCCAATTGTTAGTACAATTATCGTTGCTTCGACAACATTAACTGTCCAGCCTGAAGTATACGGATAGGGAAACTTTCAATTTTTTAAACACAAAAAAAGGACCATTTTAAAAATATTAAAATAATTGAGAAAAAAAAACAAACTTACCAGCCCAAAGTACGATAGCAATAGTTACAGTAACAACAGTAGCAATGCAAATGATAGCCAAAAATGATAGGATCACATGAAAAGTGATAAAAATAATCACCACCATACTAACCATCAATGAAATAAATACCGAAATAGCTGTACCATTTAAAATGCGCTCCAATAAATCATACAATTTTGCTATTTGACTAGTTGTTAGAATTAAGGGTTGATTAAATTCTGCAATAGAAATTAGAAAATGAAAAGAAAAAATAAGAAAAGTATGGAAAAAATTTTAGAAAACTATTCTTCCTTTTATCATTATTTGCATATATAATTTTAAAAATTAAAAATTTTCAATTCGTAATAAATTCCGTCCATATTTTCTTTTTTTTTATTTACTCTTTTCATCTAACCATTTCAATCTATGAAAAAGTTTCATATAAGTAAACAAAAATATTTGGCCCAATAAAACAAAATCTTTCCATTCATTCATTAAACATAAGGAATAATAAATGGGATGATAACTCTTCAAGCCAACAACAGCACGTGAAATGATAATCCGCGATATAAGTACGTGGGATAATTCTTCACGTCAATAACAGAAAGTGGAATGATAATCCGAGATATAAGTAGGTGAGATGATAATTCTTCACGTGAATAACAGAAAGTGGAGTGATAATCCGAGATTTAAAATACGTGGGATGATAATTCTTCACGTCAATAACAGAAAGTGGAATGATAATCCGAGATATAAGTACGTAGGATGATAATTCTTCATGTCAATAACAGAAAGTGGAGTGATAATCCGAGATTT